TTTCTTCGATATATGCAGTCTACGTCATCTATATAATGTTTAAGGTCATTATAAAAAAAAGAGCGGCAACAATCCCAACAGCAAGGAGATCGTTCTCGAACCACCTTCATCGTGCAGATACGAGCTGCCGGCAAACACGTGGCGGTGGTAATGATGCACGCACTTTTCTAATGCATTTCCTCTTATTATGTAGAGGGACTTATCTATTATTCTCTATCTATTAGACCGCGCACTCTATCTATTATTCCTCTATCTATTAGAGGACCTCTATCTGATTATTCCTCTATCTTATTTAGAGGGACTGCTATCTATTAATTCTCTATCCTATTAGAGGACTCTATCTAATTATTCCCTATCTATTAAGGACTTCTATCGCTTACGAGACGCAGCTATTGCAGCTACCTTCTGCGTTATCGCGCAACGACATTATCCAAAATGAAAAAAAAGAACAAAAAAATACAAAAGCAACACAAACAAAACCGCTCGTGGAAAGGCTAGGTTGCCGTCTGAATCCAATCAACAGCACTTAAAATGAGTCTGGCACGCCATGCGGGTGGGCGAGGGCTATCAACAGATCCGCTCGCGGTTGGATCATACTGTATGTACTATCGTGAATTGTGTATATGACGTGAGAGTGGTGCTCATGATGCTAGCGTCGGACGAGAGGCGCGTGTCAGGCGCGCGTCGAGTAGGGCCTTGATGAGTGCGATGGGAGAGTGCGCAAGAACGAAGGGGGGCTAGGGAATGGTGGGGAGGGAGAGCGAGGGAGACCTGGAGCGAGCATTGTCGGCCAAGAGGAAGCGTGTGGAAACGTGAGACTAAGGATAAGCTAGGCTAAGCGTAGACGTAACGAACTAACTAGAACTAGGGACTAACTAAACCTAACTAACTAACGTAACTAACTAACTTACTAACTAATCTAACTAACTAACTAACTAACCCTAACCCTAACTAACTAACTAACTAACTACTAATTAACTACTAACCAACCAACCAACCAACCAAGCAACACCAACAACCAACAACAACAAGCCAACCAACAACTCACCAGACCAACAACCAACCAACCAAACAAACAAACAAATAAAAAACAAACCCAGCAGCCAGCCAGCCAGCCAACCACCAACAACACGACCAACAACCAACAACAACTAACTAACTTAACCATACTGTTGACGCACGGAGGTACGTGGAAACTCGCAACATAGGTAATCATCGCGGTTGATGTAACGTCCGCGAAAGCATGCAGTAGCAGCAGCAGTAGCAGCAGCAGCAGTGATAGCGAGTAGCTAGTAGTACTAGTAGTGTAGTAACAAAGCGGTAGTAGTCAGCAGCAGTAGCAACAGCAGCAGCAGCAGGTAGCAGCGCAGCAGCACAGCATCAGCCAGCAGGTAGTAGTAGCAGCTGCTGCGCAGCAGCAGCAGTGAGTAGTAGCAGCAGCACAAGTACGTCAGTAGCAGCAGCAGCAGCAGCTAGCAGTAGGTAGTAGCTAGCAGGCAGCAGCAGCAGAAGTAGTAGTAGCAGTATAGTAGCATCAGCCACAGCAGCAGCAAGCGCAGTAGTAGTAGTAGTAGTAGTAAGCTAGCAGGCAGCCAGCAGTCATGCAGCAGCGAGCAGCAGTAAGTAGGAGTAGTAGTCATTAGTGTAGTAGTAGTAGGTAGTAGTAATAGTAGTACGTAGCAGTAGTAGCAGCAGCCAGTAGCCAGTGAGTAGCAGCAGCCAGCAGTGTAATTAGTGAGTAGTAGTAGGCAGCAGCCAGCGAGCAGCGCCAGCAGCAGCAGCAGCAGCAGCAGCGTGCTGTTGACGCTAGATTCGCTATTTCCGGACAATAGATTGAAGGCCGACTCATCAGGGAACGTACGGCACGAGTATGATTGCCATAGCCGTAACATAATCGGACAGGCCCTCCTTCGACGCGACAGAAAAAGAAATCTCGCAAGTCAATATAGAGCCCCATAGCGCAAATTCTCTCTATGTAGTTCATTTCACAGCCATATTCCCCCCGGGGTCACCAATCAGTGTTATATAAAAGCATGATTGTTGACATTTCGGGTGTATGTTATTGGCGACGCAATTGCCTAGGCGACGTCTGTTGCGGCGTTGTGTAAGCCGAAGTTCTATTAATACGCACTATGAACCAAACGCACGCGAGGTAAAATAAAAACAAACATAAAGGATCGCAATATTTCAGTTCGCTCTAGTTTCAGTCATATTGTCTATTATTTCCACTACACGGTGATGTCAACCCTAGCAGATAGATATAAATGCAATATCGTTTTTTATTCATATTCTATAGGCCCAAAGCATCCCAGAATAAACATCAACGGCAAAATTCTCTTATCACTGCAGGGGCGCTCGGCACAAGAAAACCCGAACACCATTAAATTGACTACGTCACGAATTTTCTATGGTAAAATTTGCAACATTTTTGTTGCCATTTTTTTACATTAAAAGTAAGAACTAACGGTACTAAACGTATCGTCAAATTCTTAACTGATGAGATTGTTTCTCAACTAGTTAAAAATCCAAAAAACTGGACGATTTGTTATTAGTGTTCCTAACATTAATTGCTTGCTATGGGCTATGTATGAGTCACGAGTGTATGTTCACATCGAACAATATAGTAAAATAAGAAGTAATAATGCAGCAATTTAACCATAAAAAGTGAACAGAATTACTTATATTTTTTTACTATTTACGGTGACGTAATCACTTTAAAGATTATCAGAAGCCAGCAGAAATCGAAATGTAACGTCGGCTGTTGCCGAGTTGATCTACCTCATCCTCCCAGCTCCTATTTATTATTCCTTTTATTATAAACTCAATATGGACAGGCAACCTCGTCACCTCGTGAAAACCATTGAATGAAAATATTCGAGTAAACAAATTAGCCTAATAACCGGTTTGTGATCAAAGGTCGGTATCAAATCAACGTAAAGATCCCGTAATAATTCTAGATGGCATTCATATGACATGAATTCACGAGACAATCTGTAATGCTTTAGTGATGTGAACAATACCGTAAAACATTTTCAGCTGAATATAACAATGATTAATTAGACGAAATAATCGCACACAATTAAACAATGGAATAATTTAGCTATCACAGTACATTATGCAAATCATTGAGTGCTTTTGAATAGAAGGGCATTACACCACATCATATTCAGTTTCAATTTGCAACAATTAAGATGCAAGATGCTAATTTCTAAGAAGAGAAGGAAGAAAGGAAGGAAAGATGGAACGAATTAATGACAGTAATTTAATCAAATTATTAGATGCTGGGACACAAACGTACCTTTTTGCGCTCTTTCTCAATGACATTTTGTAGGTCACCCTCACCATGCTTGATAAGGTAATTCTTGATGCCATTCATAAATTGACGAACCTACATAAAATAACAATAAAGTTTCCTATTGAATGGTATGTGTCATTCATTTTAAGCAACCGGAAGATAATAGCAAAACATGCTTATATTGATATACTGTATTATATAGACAACAAGTCTATGTACATGCTCATTCAAAATGCATAGGTTCATGGAAATACCTATAGTTCAATAGGCTATGAACCTATGACTGATGAGTTCACCACATGCGTTAAAACCATTATGGATGCATAAGCAATTACGATATAGTTCTATTAATGTTTTTCAGTTATTGCAATTTAACTTTAACAGCATATGCATCAATTGCTAGAAATCCACTGCCTGCACAAATCATTATGTGGCAATCACCACACTGCGACCATATAATGCTGAAAAGTGAAACCAGATGGCAGCACCTTCCAGAGCTGTACTGCATAATGCTCTTTCGGGTCGGCTTGCTTCTCGATTCACTGAAAGCCTCTAAACTTACGTTTCTCATGACGACAATGGGATCTTTTTCCGCACCCTCGATTGTACATTGGATAAAGTTTTCTACGTAGAGACCAAACATGGTTTTAGGATCGTAGGACAGCCTGCAACAAAGGCACAAACGGTTGCAGCTTTTATAACCTCTCTCTCCCCCTGACTTGTCTCTCTCACACACATACTCACACGCATGCACGAACGCACGCACACAATAGGTGCAAACAGTTGCAGCTTTTCTAACCTCTCTCTCAATCTCTCTCACTTTCTCCCTGACTTGTCTCTCTCACACACATACTCACATGCACGAACGCACGCACGCACGAACGCACGTACACACGCACGCGCACAAACACACTATCATCGCAACAAGAGCTATTAGCTTGCTGGTTATATGTACTTCTATTATCCGTACGAAAAATATGCACACCTACCTGTGAACATAATCCTTGATCTTTGAACTCTGCCTGGTTTTTCTGCGCAGCGACAACATCCTCGGTGTGGCTAAAAACATAATCGCAAGAATAGTATGTATTATGAGAGAGAGTCACTAAATCACCCGCACTCACGCACTCACGCACTCACGCACGCACGCGCGCACACCAGCAAACACGCACATATAAATGAACATGAATTTGAGCTTGAGAGTTTAGCTTTAAAGTACAATTTGAACTGCAGAGATGCTCAAAACTATTATTTAAGGAGGTAAACCTGGATTATATTATAACTAACACCTAGCATAACCTACGTAGTATGGTCTTGCCCTCCTCCTCAGAACTGCTACTAGCATCCTCGTGTCTGTCCTTTGTCTGTGCGGTGTCATCTATTACCTGTGGATGATAACAATAGCTGATTACAAACAAATAATGTTACATCCAGTGGGTGCGAAAACACACTTTTTCACAGTAGAAGGCAACAAGTGAGTGCATGGCGGGGAAGATCCGCGTCGATCCGCCCAGCTTCAGGCCTCGCTCCGTGCACACGATCAGATAGTGCTCCACGTCGACGCCCACCGACAGAGGTACCCTGAGCGACAGCGCCATCGTCGACGGCTTGCTCGACTGCCTCACGACGAACGTCTGTGCAGAAATAAGAGAAGTCGAGGATCAGAGGGCGCGGGAGATACGATCAGGGTAGAGATGCGTGTGTTCGAATCGGAAGAGATTCTTCAGGAAAAAACCTATCGATCTCGCACGTCAGATTCGAACATGGATTAAATATGAAATCAGTCCTGATTAGCCTATCAGCGTGATTGACAGGCAGTTATGGCCTATTGGAGCTGTGGCAAGACATTCTAAGTGCAATGTTGTGGAACGAAGTTCGGCAAATCCGATATTTTCGCACGCACATGTATAAAACCAGATACAAACTACTTGATCTCGATTGACAGCGCAGCCAACTAGTTCAATAAGAACTGACAGATGTACACGTCTAGAATTTTCATTTTATATATAGATATAGATTTCACAATAGAACTATACATGATTTACTGTACATTAGATACGTGAATAAGAGATCGATCATAAAATCAATTGTGAATTTCATTAAATGAATTAAATAGACAAAATCACGACGAAAACCGTGCACCCTTCCTCATTAATTAAAAAAATCACGTATGTATATTCCGATAAAAAATTAAACGTTATATCTTATCTCGTCTAACAAAGACGGTGACAGCATGCTGATTATAGACTTACGCCGATCTCGCGTTTCCTGAGTAAATGCAGTGCTCCGGCCCTCTTCACATCGGGCAGGTGCCAGACTGCAAACGTCCGCAGCAGTCTCTCGTGCAGCGTGATCTCGCAGCTAGTCGGCGAGTATAGAGGGCGCTGGTCGACATCCCTCGACATCTGCGAGAAAACGAAAAATTTTGCACGCTATCCCGATAGACAGAAGAATAACTAAAGTTAGTTATAAGAAGTAACTAAAGTTAATTATAAGAATAACTAAAGTTAGTTATAAGAAGTAACTAAAGTTAATTATAAGAAAATAAACAAGTTATTCTTAGTCTAGCTATGCTATCCCTAAGCGCAATATACGTTCTATCGAGTTAATTATATTATGTTGTGTAACACGTATATTATGGGTTTAGCGCTAAACAGCAGCATTATCGACTTGAAGGTGCCATGAAATCCCGCGTAAGTCCACATAAGATGTAGAACACATAAAATGTAGCGCGTATTTGACGAGCGCTTGCTTGATATAACCAAGCTTTCAACATATACGGACGAGAAGTTAGTTACAACAGAACCAACTAACAGTTAACAACTAGAACCAAAAGGACGCGCCGCGCTCTCCCTCCCACTCTAACGGCCGGCTGTTTTGGGGGAACGTTTTTAGGCTATCGGAACTACTTCGCCTGAAAGACAAATTGAGACACGACTTTGTAGGCAATTACGCGTTCTCTCACCGGGCAAGTGATTAACTGGCACTGATGCGTCCATGACTGCATAGGCATACAGTTACAGGGCTGTACCTATATGTGCTAGACAAAGTAATCAGGACACATTATACCTCAAGCGACGATGCAACACACCTCTTTGTAAATGACAGAAGAAAGAAGAGAGATGAAAGATGGTTATGTAAACCTACAATATATTGCGGCGAAAAATGTGTTAGGAATCGGTGTGTGCTAGTGTTTCCATTTTCCGTAAACACGTACGTAGCCTGGTAATTCGTCTTTGGCAGACGAGAGTGAAAAACGCCCGGTAGCAATACGCGTGTTTACCTATACATTGATAGCTGGTATTAAATTATTGCCCCATAGAAATTTTTTGTCGAAATTTATCGTAAACAAATTGTCTACGCGTTTAACAAAATTATTTGTTTTTGCAATTCACAGATGCTTTCCAATGATTTTATTGGCCTGATGCCTCCTGGTTCTCGTATCGTAATACACAACAGCATTGGCTTGACATTTCCCAGGGTATCAGCTTTTAGAAATTATTTAAAAATATTATTTTATTAATAAAGAAATATGTTTATCCGGAAAAACAACAACACTGACAAAAGAATTAAGCTGTGCAAAACCGTTCGGCACTCCCGTGTAGAAAGCCTAGCGGACAATATTGCACAAAAACATCGTATGTACGCACCAAACGGTATTACAGGGCACGTGAATTTGTTTGATCAAGTTTCGCACTGCAGTGTTGTTGCCTTGCCATGAACATGTAAGTTTTCTTCTCAATTTATCGTAGGTATTTGCGTTGGATTGGAACTACGAAACCTGTATGAACATAGCTCGCCAGAAATGATGTCACAGGCATTATACGGCAAAAGCGTTCACGACTGGTTAGGTATATTTAGTTTGTTACAAAGCGTTGTGAATTTTGTTCGGTTCGAATCCGCCTAAGAGGCTTAATACACGACCTTTCCCCTTAAACTAAAGATTGCTTCTACGCATTCCAGCATGCAGCGACACTGGACAGTTTTTACCCATTCATCTGTGACCTAGGACAGACCATCGTAATACTGGAGAGTGTGATACAGGCGATACGCACAAATCTTTATCACATACGACGACATCGTCACGCAACGAAATATTCATCTTTGTCACTCCCATAATAGTTGGATAACGGTTAATGAAAAACTATTTGACGGCTACTGAACGAACCAGCGATAAAAATTATTTAGAAAAAAATAGGCTAACACTTGGTGTGTTTATAGAGAGCTTAATTAACGACTGTGGTAACCTCATCATTCCATGTACATACATTATCTGGGAACCGCGGGAAATACTAGAAAATTTAGTTCCTGATTCGGAAATAGAAGTCAACCGGGACGCGGTAAAGCCTAAATTGCGATTTTAATTATTTGGAAACTCGTATATTTTTTCATCTGGGGCACTACATATGGACCCGCAACACACACACGCACGCACGCACGCACGCTCTCACGCACGCACGCACGCACGCACGCACGCACGCACGCACGCACTCGATGCAAGCGCGTGACACACACGCTCTCTGCCACTCGAACACTCTCCCGGCTCGCATGCTCGCTCACCTGCTGCGCGAGCAGGTTGTCGTAGTCGGAGAAGCGGTGGCGCAGGTTGATTGTCGTCAGCGGCCGCAGGTCGGGCACGCACAGCTCGGGCGAGCGCTCGCGGATCAGGTCCGCCACCGTCGACTCGTCCGACGACGCCGCGAGACGCTCCGACGAGCGGCCCGTCGGGAAGCGCGGCCCGCCGGAATCCCGCGTCCCTCCTCCTCCTCCTCCTCCTCCTCCGCTTCCCCCGGCGGAAGGGGGAAACTCCTGCGGGAGCCACTCCCAGGAGGAGGCGAGGACCTCTCGCTTGCCGCCGCGCGATCGCCGCAGCGAGCCTTGCCGGAGGAAGCTCCTCTCGCGGCGCACCACCTCGCGCTTCTCCGGCGATCCAAGCGACGACGATCTCTCGTCGGCGGCGGCGGCGGCGGAGCGGCATTCGTACAGAAGCCGCTTCGCGTCGAGCGAACCGTGCTTCGCGTTCGGCGCCTCGCTCTCCTTGCTTCCGCTGCGGCAGCGATCGTTCAGATCGTCCATCGTCATGCTGACCGGCACTCCGGTCGTCACCACGGTCATCGCGGTCGTCACGGGAACGGAGTGGCGCCGGCTGTCGGAGTCGGCGGGCGGCGGCAGCGAGCGGTAGAACGTAGACTTGTGGGCGGCGTGAGCCTTCACGGGGCGGCGTGCGTCGCCGAGCGAGTCGAACGGCTCCGAGTACGCGGGACTAGAGAACTTGCGCGGCTCGGCGGCGGCGACGCCCTCGGGTGGCGACCTCCAGCGATGACGCAGTCGCGCGGCGTCCGTGAAGCGGAACGCGGTCGCCGCGGCGACGCCGTTGTCCGGCTCGTCGCCGTCCACCGGGATGCTGTACATGGGGGTCTCCACGGCAACCGCGTCTTCCTTCGAGGCCGGCGCGTCGCCGTTGCTACGGGCGACGGGAGGCTGCGTTTCCGCGGCGTCGTCGTCGTCCTCCTCGAAGACGCTGTCGACGGACGGGGTCGCGGTGGCGCCCCCTCGCGGCGTCGCCCCCGCCGCCGACGACGTCCACACATCCTCGTAGTCGCTCATGCGCTCCTCCCAGTTGCCCTTGTAGTAGGGGATTGACGACGACGTGTCGGAGTGGCAGCGTTCGATGCGCCGGTACTTCCCCTCCTCCTCCTCGCTCGCGATCGAGTCGGGGCGCCGCCGGTAGCGTCCGGCGTCCGCCGGCGGAGAGTCGCCGTTCCAGCGACGCTGCGCGGTTGCCGTCGGCGACACGAGCGGCACGGCGGTGGTGCAGGGCGCCGTGACGACGACTTGCGAGCTGACGAGAGAGACGGCGGCGGCGTCCAGCACGGGCCTGTTCACTTGTTTTGCATCGCGTATCGGAGCGGCGGCGTCCAGCACGGGCCTGTTCACTTGTTTCGTGTCATGTATGGGAGCGGCGGCGGCCAGCACAGGCCTGTTCACTTGTTTTGCGTCGCGTATCGAAGCGGCGGCGTCCAGCACGGGCCTGTTCACTTGTTTCGCGTTCCGTATGGGAGCGGCTGCGTCCAGCACGGGCCTGTTCACTTGTTTTGCATCGCGTAGCGGAGCGGCGGCATCCAGCACGGGCCTGTTCACTTGTTTTGCGTCACGTATAGGAGCAGCGGCGTCTAGCCCAGGCCTGTTCACTTGTTTCGCGTTGCGTATGGGAGCGGCAGCGTCCAGCATGGGCCTGTTCACTTGTTTCGCATCATGTATGGGAGCGGTGGTGTCCGGCACGGGCCTGTTCGCTTGTTTTGCGTCGTGTTCGGAAGCGGCAGCATCCAGCACGGGCCTGTTCACTTGTTTTGCGTCGCGTACAGGAGCAGCGGCGTCCAGCACGGCC